TGACATACAGGGTGTTCGACACAAATCTGGAGAAAATATCCGCTTCAGAATGGTTTGAATAATCATTAGATTTATCGCATCGTAATAAAACATAATTACAAAGATAACTACTGGAAATGAAAATATTATGCATTTTCCTTACTGGTTTAGAAATTTCATAGGATGTTAGATGGAACGTCGTAAAATATGAAATTGTTTCATTTTGATTAGAGGGGTTGTAGAATTTCACGGGAAAGCATCCGCGCTTCCCCTAAATTGCTAGCTACGAACGTTAATGGGACGAGGGTCGAGCAAACGGGTTTCATTGCTCCGATCAAGCGCTACCGGCACTGATAACCGCTCATTACTCGGCCATTACGCCTTTACCTGCACTCGCCGGGCTTCTCGCAGTACCCTTGGCTGGACAGACAATCGCCGGCGCAGATCGGCTCCGAGCAGAACATCCCCTTCCAGCCTGGGTCGCAAGCACACTCGAAGCTCACGTTACAGCTGAAAAGTGAAAATTCCGATGAACGAATGAAACGAGACTGTTTCATGTTACGCGGAAATCCGCCGTTGCCACGGTGAAATCGGTGTCCGATTCGCAGATTGAAACTGGCATTGAAACCTGGTAACGGTATCGCTTAAAAAATGTTGGAAAAGAGAAATTGAAACCGAAGAGGGTCGATTCTATTTGATCCGCGATCCGGTTAGGGTTAAACTGTTATTTATTCGCGACTCGCATCTGCCGTTGCGCTTTTCCAACCGAGAAGGGGTGAAAGGGCGATTACCTGCCGTGCTGGCATCCCGGCAGGGCCACACACTTGTCGCATAGTTCGCCGTAGAAGCCCAATTTACAGCGACATTCCCCGGGTCGGCGGCAGTAACCCTGGAGGGGGTCGCAACCCTTGCGACAGATCGGCACGTCGCACAGGTCACCAGTCCAGCCTAAACGAAATCAAATTATCTACGTATTTCCCAAAATTCAATTTTACAAATGAATAATTTGATTAAAAAATTAATGATTCGATTAAAATAAACTTTCTGTGCATTTACTATAAAA